GGCTACCACAGCAGGGGTGAGATTAAGAATAGCAGAGAGAGATTAGGAGATAACTTCTTTCTTGATTCCTTCCTTCAACAGGTACAGGATACATATAGGAGCTCTGTCCCATTGCTACTTGTGCCAGCCATTAACTACTAGCTGGCTAATTAATTCCTTACTCTTCAACTACTACTTAATTGTCTTAGAGACTGCAGCCCCTCTAGCTGCCTAAACCTCATGGGGTTCTGCTAGGCCATGCGTCCCCTTGGGGACTGCCCCGGCTGCACCTCGTGTCCGAGGGCGACGGCTGTACTATTGGCCCCAGATGACATCTCTCCCCCCCTCGACGAGCAACTCGTCCTCGAGCTGGAAGTTTGGGTAACGCTCGGTGAAGCTGTCGATGTCCTCCAAGGTGGCGGAGGCTGAGGGCTCGCCTTGCCAATGTATCAGGACTTGGCGGACGCTGCGGGCCAGCCTGGTGCGTGAGGCGCATTCTGGCACCGGCTGTGTGGCGCCATGATGCATAGGAGGCAGAGCCAGGGGAATGGCCGGGGGAGTACCCACGAACTTCTTAAGGAGTCCGACGTGGAAGACATCGTGCAGCCAGGCGCAGGGAGGGAGCTCGAGGCGGTAGGCGACGTTGTTGATGATGGCAGAGATGCGGTACGGCCCATAGTACCGGGGTCACATTTTCCCTTTGGTGACGCCGTGGAGGGAGGCTGGGGCACGATGGCGAAGACGAAGCCAGACCCAATCACCCACGCTGTACTGAACGTCGCGGTGATGCTTGTCGTAGAACCGCTTGTAGACTGCCTGAGCTTGCTCCAGCCGGGCCCGGGCATCAGCAAGCATTTCATCGCGTTCAGCCATGGTCTTGGCCACCGCAGCCACCCTGGTTTCACCAGGCTCATAGGATCGGATGGAGGGTGGCTCACGGCCGTAGACGAGCTGAAATGGCGTGGTCTTGAGCGCGGACTGAAAAGCGGTGTTGTAGATATATTCCACCCATGGCAGCCAGCGTAGCCACTAACGGGGACGATCACCAGTCAGGCAACGCAAGTACATGATGATCCCCTTATTGGCTGCTTCGGTCTGGCCATCAGACTGCGGGTGGAATGCTGTCGTCATGTGTAGCTTGACTCCGACGAGGCACAACAGCTCTTTCCAGAAGATGGAGGTGAACACGGGGTCCCTGTCTGAGACAATGGACTGCGGGATACCTTGCAGGCGCACGATGTCGGAGAAGAAAGCCTGCGCCACGGACTCCGCGGAGTAAGGATGGGCCAGCGGAATAAAGTGGCAGTATTTGCTTAACCGATCAACAATGGTGAGGATGACGGATTTGCCTCCCACGCGCCTCCCACGCGCGGCAAAGCTTCGATGAAATCCATCCCGATGTCCGCCCAAACTGCTATTGGCACCGGCAGGGGAAGGAGAAGGCCTGTTGGGTGCAGGTGCTCGGACTTGTAGCGTTGACAGGTGGCGCATGCGCGCACATAGTCTTGGACCATAGCACGCAGGTTGGGTGAGTGGAAGTCGCGACGGAGGCGCTGGAGTGTGAGTTGGACTCCTTCGTGGCCGTCATCGTGAATGGCAGCAAGGAGTTCTTGGATAAGGGGGCACCAGACGGGATGTAGAGGCGCCCCTGGAACGCCTCTACTAATTCGTTTAGAGGGGTTCAGATGTGTCCATATTCGTGTCCGAATATTCAACATCCGATACCGTATCCGTATTCGAATACTCAAATCGCATATTTATGATGTCGACATCCAATCATATCATATCCAGCATGGTTGACACTATCCGTATTCGAATCCGAATCCGGACAGAAATATGAAAACAAATATAATATCAATGATATCAGTCCGTATCCGATCCGTTTTTATCCCTAGACATGGCATGCGGTTCCTTTATCATCATTATTATTATTATTATTTGAAGGGATCTAGGTTCAGTTCAAAGTATTCGGTGCGAAATTTTTGTCCACGTCTATGCCGGCGGATTTATAGAAAATAAAAAAAATTATCGGACAAATCCACATCCCATGAAAATTTTTAGTATTTTCTACAAATCTGCAGCCCTACATGTTAACAAACATATCGTGCTCCCGGTACAACGCACAGGTATTTATCTAGTAAGTTATTAAATATTAAAAGGTTGAACTCGAGTGTTTTATTTCTTTCAATATTTTTAAACAACTTGTAAATAGTTACATGTTTCTTGACAATTGTTGCTACTGTTTGGGAAAAAAAGGCAATATGGATTTCTTATTCCCGAGTTACCTCAGTTGTTAGTCCTTTAAACGTTAGACAAGCATTTTGCCGCTGTCAATGATGCACTATTTGCGTTTTTTCCATGTCTCTTTCACATTGTTTTTTTTTTTTTCCTCCTCTCCCTGTCCTTCACAAACCACACTACTCCTACTCTGACAATATAATGAAACCTGACTACCTAGTGTTCTGGAGCACACAGCCGCCTCTGCGGCTAGGAGGACTTGCACGGCTGCCTTCCAATTCCGACACGGATCAGAATCAGGAAGCCGATTCGAGTTCGGCAATGGCGTCGCGATCCATGGGTGTATATTAGGTCTAGTTGCTCTCCAAAAGTTTAAATTCTATCTCATCGTATGTTTAGACATATGTATGGAGTATTAAATATACATTAAAAATAACTAATTACACAGATTCCAATTACTTTATGAGACAAATCTTTTAAGCCTAATTAGTTCATGATTTGACAATGTGGTGCTACGTTAACACGTGTGCTAATGACGAATTAATTAGACTTAATAAATTCATCTCGCAGTTTAGTGATAGATTCTGTAATTTGTTTTTTTATTAGTATTCGAACAACCCATGCCACATCCCCATATAACATCTGATGTAACAACTCAAAACTTTACACCCTGGATTTAAAGAAGGCTTTAGTATATATCTGACACTACCGGAAACAATGACCGCAAAGAAAAAAACACTCGGCAAAGGCTTTGTCGAGTATAACACTCGGTAAACTGCAAACGGCATCTACAGTGTCGGCAAACAGCTATTTACCGAGTGTTTTTTATCGCGCACTCGGCAAATGGTTTGCCGAGTGTCAAATTTGACACTCAACAAAAAAAAAAGCGGTTTGCCAAGTATTTTTCCAAAATACACTCGGCAAAAGAATTATTGTTTGCCGAGTGTTTTTGAGAATTACACTCGGCAAACCTATTATACAAAGAAGAAAAAAAATAATTTTTTTATCAGCATACCATTATTGTTTGCCGAGTGTTTTTGAGAATTACACTCGACAAACCTATTTTCTAAAGAAAAATAATAATTTTTTTCTCACCATATTTCAGTTTAATAGCTGCCATACAAAACACTATTAGTACACCATATCTGCATGCACATCATGCTCCTAGCAACATAATTCTCATAATAACCACATGAACATAAAAATGAAGATGACAAATTTAAGAGACTAATGACAGGTATAAGTTCAGAAGAATCAACATCTAGAAAAAATTCAAAAACTATGCTACCAAAATAGTAAAGGTAAAACCATCAGCACCCCAGTAGACATGTCTTCTACTCCATTCTTTATAAAACTACTTCTTCACTGCTGCAAGAAGGAAGAAATGTGAACATAGTTTGTTGTCTCACCCTTAGGTATAGAAGTAACCACATATTTACACACTGATAACTAACTATATCATTCAAATTCACTGTGAACTTTGACTTTGCAGCAGCTAACCTGTGCACGGCCAACTCCAATAGTTATTCTTTTATTTACTTTTCCGGTCACATGCGGTAAGGCTCTACCACTGGCACCAGGCCTGCCCTTCTATTGTTATGCTTTTACATATTTAATTAAATTTAATGTTTGATTTTTTTTGAAATTTCATTCTTTCTTCAAAACGGAGAAGGGAGATGGAGCAACACTTGGCTGTTTGGAATCCTGGTTCTACCCAACATCTGGCCTGGCTTTGGCCAGCTCGAGCATGGCTGCTGTGGTGCAACCTCGTGTGTCTGTTTCCCTGAACCAAAATAAGCCGGGCCGAATAGTAGTGACAATATAATTTGAGTCAGTTACTAACCCATTCTCTCTTGTGGTGACTGAACTCACTGAACTGTACTTCTATCACTTCTAGATTCAGTCTCCCATTTATCACCTAGTGTCCCACTAGCTTAGTGAATCTCGCTGCTCGAGCTTCTTGAAAAGATTTAGAACCTTTCTGGAGACCAATCTGAAACCAAAACAATAGTTTAAAGAAGCAAATTTCAGTGATGTGTCAATGAGATACATAATTCCAGTGATGTGTCAGTTCGTTTGTATCCATGGACAGTGAGATACATATTTTTTTCAGTGATGTTATTTTAGGTTGAGTGCATCACTGTTAACTCTGCTGAATTTGGAAAGGCAGTACAGCAGAATCACAACTGAAAGTGTGTGGAGCAGCTGCAGCTAAATAAACACCAAAAACTATGCCAATCTCGATATCACTATAATCTGAAACTCCAGTCCAGATGTAGTGTTTGGCATGTGGAGATCCCTCCTGAAACTGAAACTTAGAGAAGGATCTCGATACACAACAAAATAACTTGCAACTAACTCAGACGCTCTGTTCTAGAGCAAGAAATTGTTTCAATACTAAAAGGTAAAGGTGAATTCTGCAAGCTTTAAACTTTCTAATTAAACTCCTACAGAAAATATCAGATCACTCTATCCAAATTAAACTCTCTAATAAAAATCCAATCCAAGAATGAGCTTGTTGAGAAGTCACTTGTTGTTATACTTCACCCAAAAACATTGCAGCAGGGAAGACGAACGGAGTCTCTGTGCTACAGCTACAAGCCAAAAACGAATTGCGTGAGGACCGGAGGAGACTACTTCAGGGTCCAGGGAGGACACGGTAAGGGCGCGTTGGCGGCGGGCGGCTCCTGCCTTCACCCAGAGACTACCTGTTTTTATCCGGCGCTCCTGCGTTCCCGCTTCAGCGCCTCCTCCTCTCCTGCTTGCGGCTCCGGGTGCCGCGGATGGGGAAGGGAAAGGGGACGCTGCCTGCAATCGAATTGATGAATCGTATCAACAAGCAGAAAGAGAAGGGGAAGGAGAAAGAGATGACGCGAAGGAGAAGATGGGGGAGTGCATCTGGAGGAGGGGCACCTGGATCTGCTCTCGGCGTTGGAGGAGGACACGCTGGAGCGGAGGCGTCGGCGACGACAGCGGCGGGCTGGCGGCGGCCGTCTTCTCCTTCCCCAACCAAGAGCAGTCACGGACTTGGGCGAGCACGGGAGATGGAGAGGACGGGGAAGTCCCAACCCGCCCCAACCCCGCCACCACGCCGCATGCCCCATCCGCGCCCTTTGCCTGCGCTTGGCTGCTCATGCTGCTTGCCGTGGCCGTTGCGCTCGGCTACTGCTGCTGCTTGCCATGGCCACGCGTGCACCGAGGAGGAGCTCCGCCCACGGCTCGACTGCACCTGGGACCCCACCTCCGACCGTGCCAAGAAGCTCCGCCAAGAAGCACGGCATAGCGCCTCCCCTACTCGAGTCACGAAGTGGAAGCGCGGAGTGGGGGCGCGGAGAAGGAGCGGTGGGGAGGAGGGGGCCGGGGCGGGGGTCTGCTCGGCCGAGCTCCGGTTGTCTTCTCGAGCACCGGCAGCGAGATTTGTAGTGCCGGGGCGGGATTCTGCTCGGGATTTGCAGGGCGGGGTGGCGGCGGCGGCGGTCGTGTGTGCTGCGGTGGCGCTGACATCTTGGGCGCAGGTGGCCAGGCGGCGCGGGGGGAGGGGGAGGGGGCGCAGAGGAGAGGCGGCGCGGGGGAGAGGAGGGAAGGGAGCGCGGGGAGAGGCTTGCGGCCGGCGGCTGAAAGAGATAAGGGAGACGCGCCGGTGGGCCTATAAGACCTCGTTCACTTTGCAAAAAAATGAACCTAATTAATAGTACCACTTTCGTCTTATTTGTCAAATATTGTCCAACCATAGATTAATTAGGCTCAAAAGATTTATCTCGTGATTTTCAAATTATTTTTTTACCTACATTTAATACTCCATGCAAACGGCTAAAAATTGATGTGATGGAGAGAGAGTGAATAAACTTAGAATTTAAATGGCATCTAAACAAGGCGTAAGCCGGAGTTTGCCGAGTGTTAGATACTTGATTTTTTTTTATTTTTTATTTATTTATTTTTATATATTTTTCTCTTTTCGTGGAAGGACATGTGACACGATGTTTATCGAGTGCCATAATTTGCCGAGTGTTTTTCCTATATTTGTTGAGTGCCGGAGTTTATCGACTATTTTTCAGTAGAATTGTCGAGTGTCAGATTCTTTACCGAGTATTTTTAATTTAGCACTCGACAAAGAGATGATTTACCGAGTGTTCAATAGAATACACGCGAGACCAGGCCACCAAACTCGCCGGCAGCGAATCATCAGTCGATTGGACTCCTAGACTGCTGTCATGGATTGCGATGACTGCTGCGACTACCCCGGCGACTGCGACAGCGGCTGTTGCGGGGCCTGCTGCCATGTGACCGACTGCAGCGAAGTGACCGACGACTGCTGCGGGGCCTGCTTGGAAGCCGGCGGCCAAGAGACCAACTGCTGCGGGTGCGGGGCCTGCTCCTGCTGCTGCTCCACCAAGTGCTGCTGCCGCTTCACCACGGCGCCCTTCGCCGTCGCCGTCGCCACAGTCATCACCGTGCTCGTCGTAGCCTACGCCGGCGTCTTATTCCCCGCCCGCGTCACCGACGACCCCAACGGCACGGCGCTCGCATACGACGTCTCGCTCACCATCGCCGTGCGCAACCGCAACTTCGCGAAGGCATCTGGAAAACCGCGCCGCTGGACGCCGAGCTCCGGTTCCACGGCCAGACGTTCGCGCGCGTCCGTACCCAGTTGGAGAGCGCGGAGTGGGGGCTTTTCAAGGCGCGGGGGAAATGTCTGTACCGCGTGCCGGCGGCCTCGGCGGACAGGGGTGCCGCGCCTGTGGCGCTCGGTGGTGACGGAGTGGCTGAGTTCGTGAGGGAGAGCCTCGCCGGGGTGTTTGAGCTCGAGCTCGCTGTCGTCGGCAGGGAGGTCAAGGACGAGGAACAACAACACGGCAGGGACAGCAGCGTCAGGGCCACCTGCCCTTTGAAGCTTTCGCTCCCGACGGCGACCGCTCCTGTCGAGTTCACAAGGGTCAAGTGCACGTTGTAGGCGATAGCCATGCATAGATCGGAGTACTACTACGTCGCCGGTTGCCACGGCCAAGCGAGAGAAGAGTAAAGGATGGAGGACTTTGCTTCCGAAATTGCGGCGACTTGGGGCACGCCACATTGGCCAAGGACTAGGAATATACTCCAGTTATTTTGCTCTACGAATCTTGCCAAAAAAAAAATGGCAGCGTTTTATTTTGTCCCCTCTCAAGTTGTGTGCGGCATGCAGCATGCAGCATGCTCAGGTCAAGAACCCCAACAGAGCAATGGTATTGACTGATGATCCATGCGTTGCTAGATGCTTCCACTTCTCCATTGTGTTGTCTTTTCAGAAAAACTTCTTATCTGTTAGCCCCTGGATCTCTGTCAAGAGGTGAGCCGACCACTCACTAGCGTTACCGACCACGACACTTTTGTTGGTGGTCACACACTATGGCTAGAGGTAGAAGAAGAGAGGGATGAAAAAAAGCACACACACACAGCACAAGCACTGCGTTGGCCAGAGCTCTGCAGAGGAGATGGCAAAACTAAATTCGCTCTGTTTACTAAGTTGCAGTGACAAACTATATATACTACTCTACCCATCTAATTTTAGTACACAGACATGTCAGTGACATGTCACTCTGATGACTAATGTGACAAAGAGGGTGACTTTGGCGTCTGCCCTGCTGTGTCTCTGATCTTGGCGGGAGAGTCTTGCGGCGCTCGCCCTTGCGATGACTCTGATCAAAGCAAAAGAAGTGAGCCCCTTCGACGCCGCCTGTCCCTGCCGCGCGTTCACACAAGGGGAGCAGCAGATTACTTAACAATTCTTCCCCTAATCCTGTTGTTATCCCTTGAAACCCCTCCATGCCGATCTTCTTTAGCTCCGTGAACCGAAGACGGCCGAGCGGCTTGGTGAGGACCTCCGCGAGTTGTCGACAAGTTTCAACGAACTCGATGACGATCTGCCATCCATCGATACAGTCCCTGAGGAAGTAAAACTTGACGTCGATGTGATTGCTCCGGTCGTGGAGAACCGGATTCTTCGCGAGGGTGATGGCTGGCTGGTTGTCCACCATCAGTGCTGGTGGGTTAGCTTCCACACCGGTGAAAGGTCCTAATATGGCTAGAGGGGGATAAATAACCTATTTAAAAATCTACAAACCGACTAGAGCAATTTGATTAGTATAACAAATAGCGAAATGCAAACTAGCTCTAGCTCTACAAGGGTTGCAAGCCACCTATCCAATAATTCTAGTTGTTATGATCACTAGGCACATAATTTACTATATTACTACTCACTAAAAGCTCTCACAATTGCTACACTAAAGAGCTCCACTAGATGAACTTAATCCACAAAGCAAGCTCTCAATTCTAGCTACACTAAAGAGCTTGTTATAGCTAGTTCGCGAAAATATAAATGAATAAGTGAGGTGATTATACCATCGTATAGAGGAGTGAACCAATCACAAGATGAATACTTTATCAATCACCGGGAGAATACCAAAGGGCAAGAGACAACCAATTTTTTCCCGAGGTTCACGTGCTTGCCAACACGCTACGTCCCCATTGTGTCGACCAACACTTGGTAGTTCGGCGGCTAAGAGGTGTTGCACGAACCTCGTCCACACAATTGGACACCGCAAGAACCTACCCACAAGTGAGGTAACTCAATGACACGAGCAATCCACTAGAGTTACCTTTCGGCGCTCTGTCGGAGAAGGTACAAATCCCCTCACAATCACCGGAGATGGCCACGGACAATCACCAACTCGTGCCAATCCTCCTCCGCTGCTCCAAGCCGTCTAGGTGGTGGCAACCACCAAGAGCAACAAGCGAATCCCGCAGCAAAAAAAACGAACACCAAGTGCCTCTAGATGCAATCACTCAAGCAATGCACTTGGATTCTCTCCCAATCTCACAAAGATGATGAATCAATGATGGAGATGAGTGGGAGGGCTTTGGCTAAGCTCACAAGGTTCCTATGTCAATGCAAATGGTCAAGAGAGTGAGCTTGAGCCGGCCATGGGGCTTAAATAGAAGCCCACACGAAATAAAGCCGTTGTACCCCTTCACTGGGCACAACACGGGGTGACCGGACGCTCCGGTCAGATCGACCGGACGCTGGACCCAAGCGTCTGGTCGCGCGATGCACGCCACGTGTCCCCTATCTTCAAATACTGAGCGTCCGATCCCAACGGTCAAGTGATGACCAGACGCACTGCTGCGAAGTGACCGGACGCTGGACCTCAGCATCCGGTCGTTTCCAGTAAGCATCCAGAAGCGAGAAATCACGACCGGACGCGTCCGGTCATGCTCGACCGGACACACCCAATGTCTGGTCACACGACGTCTCCCCTGTGCGCTGCCACGTCAGTAGGACCGGACGCACCCCTCCAGCGTCCGGTCAGAGACTGACGCCAGCGTCTTTGTATCTTCTATTGACCGGAGCACTGGCCCAACCAAGGCCAGCGTCCGGTCACTTACAGTGACCTCTATCTTTCTGTATAGGGCGCCGGTGAAGTTCATAACCCTTGCTCAAATGTGCCAACCACCAAGAGTATCACCTCGTGCACATGTGTTAGCATATTTTCACAAATATTTTCAAGGGTGTTAGCACTCCACTAGATCTTAAATGCATATGCAATGAGTTAGAGCATCTAGTGGCACTTTGATAACCGCATTTCAATACGAGTTTCACTCCTCTTAATAGTACAACTATCGATCCTAAATGTGATCATACTCACTAAGTGTCTCGATCACTAAAACAAAATGGCTCCTACTATTTATACTTTTGCCTTGAGCCTTTTGTTTTTCTCTTTCTTCTTTTCTAAGTTCAAGCATTTGATCATCACCGTGCCATCACCATCATCATGATCCTCACCATTGCTTCATCACTTGGAGTAGTGCTACCTATCTCATAATCACTTTGATAAACTAGGTTAGCACTTAGGGTTTTATCAATTAACCAAAACCAAACTAGAGCTTTCAACCGATCAGCTCGCCCAACAGCCGCCGCAGCCACACAGCTTGGCACGCCGCTATGGCCGCCGCCACGTACTCTGCCTCGCACGTGGACATCACCATCACCTTCTATTTCAGCGACAGCTATGAGATTGGAGCCGACCCGAGGAAAACGAGCACGCCAGAGGTGCTCCGCCATCCGTCGATGTCCCCCGCCATGTCTACATCGCTGAACACAGTGAGTTGCAGCCTACTTCCGCCGGTCTTAAGGAAGACGATCCCTTGATCCACCGTCCCCTTGACGTAGCGCAGCAGGCGCTTCACCGTAGCCCAGTGATCCTCTCGGGGATCCTCTATGAAGCGACTGACGTAGCCCACGGCGAACGGAATGTCCGGTCTCGTGTGGACTAGGTAGTGCAGACCGCCGATGTTGCTCCGGTAGAGTGTTGCATCTACCTTCACCGCGGTACTGGCCTTAGTCAGCTTTAGTCGCTCCTCCATCGGAGTCATGCATGGCTTGCACTCAGCCATGCCGCTTCGCTCCAACAGCTTCGAGGCATACGCGCTCTGACCGAGCGTGAGCGCCTCTGTCTCCTGTCTCACCTCAATGCTGAGGTAGTAGGAGAGCACGCCGAGATCGCTCATTCGAAAATGAGCCGCCATCTCGCGCTTGAAGCTGTCGATGTCCTCCGCACGCGCACCGATGACGATCAAGTTGTCCACATACACGCCGACGACGAGCTCCTCCTTCCCCGTCGTCCGTGTAGAGCGCGTGCTCAGTTGCGCACCGTGTGAACCCAAGCTCGCCCAGCGTGGAGTCAAGCTTGGCGTTCCACGCTCGTGGGGCCTACCGTAACCCGTAGAGCGCCTTACGCAGTTGGAGCACCCTGTGCTTCGCTCCCTTGACGGTGAAACCCGGAGGTTGTCTGACGAAAACTGTCTCCACCAGCTCGCCGTTGAGGAAGATCGATTTTACGTCCAGGTGATGGACGCGCCAGTCCTTTGCTACTGCCAAAGCCAGTAGCAGTCGGACAGACTCCATGCACGCTACGGTGCAAAGACTTCTTCGAAGTTGATGCCGTCACGCTGGACAAAGCCTCGGATGACGAGGCGTGCCTTGTGCTTGACAATGGCGCTGCGCTCGTCCCGCTTAACCTTGTACACCCACTTCAGCCCGATCGGACGGCATCCTGGAGGTGGATCGATGAGCTCCCAAGTCTTGTTTTCCTCGATCGCCTTCATCTCTTCTAGCATCGCCCGTCGCCAATTTGCATCGCGCTCAGCCAGCGCGAACGTGGGTGGTTCCTCCGCACTGACGAGAAGCAGCTCTGGGTCATTGAGCAGCCGACCCGCCAGGCCTGAGGGCCCTGTGCCACTGATGATGTCGTCCAGCCTGCGGAACCGCACCTCCTCACCGTCGTGGAAGGCATCCACGAACTTAGTGATGTCGCTTAGAGGTTAGGCGAACTCAATCTGCGTCGATGGAGTTCCCTGTTCCGCTGGAGTGATCGGCACGGCACCTGGAGTGCTCGACACCCTGGCTGCAGTGCTCGGCACTACTCCTGGACTGCTCGTCACTGCTCCTGGAGTGGTCGGCACCACTGCAGGAGTGCTCAATACTAGTCTTAGAGTGGTCGGCACCACTGCAAGACCTCTTGGCTCCGCTATGGGAGCGTTCGGCACCTGTCCTGGAGTGGTCGGCACCACTGCAGGACCACTCGACACCACTACTGGAGTGCTCGGCACCCCTCCCGGAGTGCTTGGCACCATCCTAGGAGTGCTCGGCTCTGTTGCTGGAGTGGTCAGCACCTACCCTCCAGCGTCTCCACTACCATGGATGACCAAGTGCTCGATGACGAAGGTGCTGGTGAAGGCGCCAGCTTCCCCCGTGCCCAGACTATTCTAGTTCCAGGCCGCCTTATCGTCGAACACGACGTCGCGCGAGACAACCACCTTGTCTCCGTGTGGGTTGTAGAGCTGGTACGCCTTGGTACCTTCCGCGTAGCCCAGGAGCACCATCGGTGTGCTCCTGTCCTCCAGCTTGGTGAGGACCAGCTTCGTCTTCCTGACGTGGCCGATGCAGTTTGGGCCTCAAAACAGGGGAGTGGAGGATCGGTGAACATATGGGAGCATCTTGAAGCTTGCGCTGACGCAAAATAGAGTCGAGAAGGCACCAGGTCCGTTGGATCGTTGAAGAAAAACTTGTACGGATTTGCCCCTAGTAATATTTTGATTGGGTACTTCATGTAAGTGGAAGTTGGTAAATAACCAAGTGCCTATATATGGGAATTGGTTGGTTGGGAAGCCAAGCCTTGGGGATTAGACTATGATTTGTTAGGTTGAGAGCTTTTGGGTTAAGGCTAGGAAGAGAGGAGTGATTTCTTGATTGAGCAACTTTTCGCCATCGTAAGCTTTGATGTGCTAAGAGTGGTTTGTAATCGGACCTCATGATGTAATCCAAAGATCAATTTTCAGCTCCACTTATCTCCTCCCCAAATTTCAAGTTTTTTTAATTATTTTCGGAGCTATTTTTTGAGATTTTTCATTTGTTGGATTTGACTAAGATTTGGGACAGATTTCTTGAGAGATTTTGGTGCTAGGGCATGTGTGAGCAAGACTTGGGTGATCCTCTAAAAAATCCTTCACTCGAGCACCACGAATTTCAAGTTCTTCGAATTTCTCCCTTTTCTAGGTTTTCCAGAAAGCTATGGAATTTGTGTGAAAAGTTTGGGAGTTTTTTTTTGTCGAATACTCATAGATTACTCTTGAGTCTTGACGTACAGGTGCTGTGGTTTATTTTTCAGTTCTTTGGAATCCATTTTGATGAATTGATGTGCTGTTCAGCTAGTTACTGTCTGCGTACTGTACAGTCTCTGAAATTGTAGTTTCCAGGTTCAGCAATAGTAAGTCTTTAGAATCTTTTACTACATCAGGAAGGCCTCGTCTTTTGTTTTATTTTGAGTTTGGCTTGACTGAAATTTCTTCCGGCGTAGCACTGGTCCCTGTTCTGCAGTTGTGCTTCAGTCAGACATTTTTGTTTTGCAGTCTGCAATCTTCTGTAGTTTCTCTACTCTGTAATTGACTTGCAGGAATAGCAGCACACGTCAAGTCTTCAGGTATGGGCAAGTCGTTTCTCTGATTCAGATTTGTTTCCATGTTTTTGAGTTTGATTGAGTTCGGTTGCAGTCATCAGTGCTAGCATTTATATTGCCAGTAGCAGCAGTTCAGTGTATCTGTCTTTTGATTAAGCTGTGTTTTTTTTAGGTTCAGAAAGTTCATAGTTTCTGAAGGGCGGGCTTGGTGCAAGCGGTAGAGTCTTACCGTCTTTGAGCAGAAGGTTCCGGGTTCGAGTCGTGGTCTCCTCGCATTGCACAGGCGAGGGTAATACTTGCCACTGACACTCTTCCCCGACACCTGCACAGAGCGGGAGCTCTCTGCACTGGGTACGCCCTTTAAAGTTCATAGTTTCTCTGCTTTAGTTCAGTTCAGTGTAGTATTGCATCAAGCCCACATCAGGTTTTGTGCTGCTACTCTGTTCCATTGTTTTGCTCTCTGTTTTTTTCTTCTGAAGAAAATGGATTGATAGCTTCAGTTCCGTGGTTCACCAACCCGCCACAGCAGTTGCGCAAATCTTCAATTTTCAGCTGTTTGCTGCCCTTTCCTCACTGAGGTTGCAGTAGATCGACAAGTGCATACCAACAGTCAAAGTGCTCGGTGGTCTGCTCTTTGCAATTTTATTTCACAGTTTTTTAGCAACAAGTATTCACCCTGTGTCTTGTCCTTTCGCCCCTACAAATAACTCTCTTTTGCTTATTATAAGTGTTGTTTGGGATATAGGCCAAGTTGTCACTCGGAAAAGAATTTTAATAACAACCTCTGGTCGCCGTTTCCTGTCCTTCGATAGCACTATTTCTTTATAAAGAAAATAGAAATAAAAATTTGCATAAAAATATGTTACACTATTTCAGTTAAAATATATGTCACAACATTTCAATTAAAATATATCAATTTACATAACGCTGAGTATGTATGTTATATTAGTGAAATGTGTAAGAGTGCACCTAATAGCTTTCCAAACATAGGACTATCACAAATGTGCCAAGGCTGCGATTTCTACATAGAAATTCTCAGAACACTTCTAGTTCCATGTCCCTCAAAATACTTGAGATGCATATCCACAGATCCAATAGTTTTGGGGCCTTCAAATAAAATGTGAAATTAATATGTCGTTACCTATATATGATGAATACAAAAGCTAACAAAACAAGACATACTGAATACATATAGCATTTTCAAAGCCTTGATATGAATCATACCGTACCAAATGTTACCCGGCCCTGATGATCGAGTTCACAGGAATACTAAAAAGTTGGATAAAATGCAGGAAACAAAAATGGTTCACATATTTCTAGTGGTGAAAATGCATGGTTGGCGGCCAGTTATTGATCGAATTCAGATAACCCAAATGTATACATATATATATTTTTTCGATAATGGAATTAAACTTCCGGCTTCATCTCGTCACCTAGAGGAATCAGACCAAACTTATTACAAAGTTTAACACACAAAAAGTTGTAACATAGAATGTCATGAACAATAAAATGTAGTTAAGCAAATCACGCGGTACATAGCGAGGGATCATTCATATGCCTGCAAATTAAGCAATTGGTATTGTGTTCTCTGCCGACACCTCGCCTGGGAGCCTTCTAGCAATGCTAGGCAGAGCAGAGGCTGCAGAAGCAACAAGAGAAGAAATGGGCTCTCTGTGCTTAGCGACGCCAACTTCGCAGCGGAACATCTTAAACATTTCAAGTCTTTCTTCTGTTTCTGCGACTTCTTTCACTTATACCCGATAAACAAGGACACTTGGGGTCGCAGCTTTACAATCGGAGACGTTTCTTCTTCACCCGGGTATAAATGTCGGAGTCTCGAAGATGTCGAGGAGAAGGAGCGAGGTTGCGAGGAGGACGAGCAAAGGTGGCAGAGAGACCAAACTAAGGAAGCTTGTGGCACGAGCGCTCGTGAGGCAGGCGTGCTTGTGCTGCTGGCGGAGATGGTGAGGAAAAATTGAATTAGGGTTCCTAGAATACACAACCTATATATATGATTGTTCAGATTTTGGTCAAAATACCTATGTTGAGCTTCTTTGTGCCTAATACTCGCATGACAGCTCAAATAGTCGGGTTCCCCAACGGGTAACGGGGACGGGTAAACAGAGAACGTTCCCGTACCCGCTATACCCGTCGGAGATGGATTCTTGCCCATTTAGATGCCTGCGGATAAAGATATGATCCCATCCCCGTCTCCTAATGGAACAAATACCCGTCGGGTATCGGGGGCGTTGCCATCTTTACATAGGACTATCACAAATGTGTTATGGCTGCGATTTCTACATAGAAATTCTCAGAACACTTCTGGTTCCAAGTCCCTCAAAATACTTGAGTTGCATATCCACTGATCCAATAGTTTTGGGGCCTTCAAATAAAATATGAAATTAATATGTCGTTACCTATATATGATGAATACAAAAGCTAACAAAACGAAGACATACTGAATACATATAGCATTTTCAAAGCCTTGATACGAATCATACCGTACCAAATGTTACCCGGCCCTGATGATCGAGTTAACAGGAATACTAAAAAGTTGGATAAAATGCAGGAAACAAAAATGGTTCACATATTTCTAGTGGTGAAAATGCATGGTTGGCGGCCAGTTATTGATCGAATTCAGATAACCCAAATTTTATATATATATATATTTCCGGCTTCATCCCGTCACCTAGAGGAATCAGACCAAACTTATTACAAAGTTTAACACACAAAAAGTTGTAACACAGAATGTCATGAACAATAAAATGTAGTTAAGCAAATCACGCGGTACATAGCAAGGGATCATTCATATGCCTGCAAATTAAGCAATTGGTATTGTGTTCTCTGCCGACACCTCGCCTGGGAGCCTTCTAGCAATGCGAGGCAGAGCAGAGGCTGCAGAAGCAACGAGAGAAGAAATGGGCTCTCTGTGCTTAGCGACGCCAACGCCGCAGCAGAACATGTTAAACATTTCAAGTCTTTCTTCTGTTTCTGCGACTTCTTTCACTGCCTTGTCCACTTGGTGCCGAAAGAAAAACTCAATGCAGCGTCTGTTGCTCGGTAGCATCCAAATGATTAGCTCAACTGTTACCCGCCTTATACCTGGGTACTCTGTGTCTGGTGACATGTACATATCAAGGATCCTGCTGAGCGCATGCATGAGCAAATCCACTGTGAGGTTGGCATTCCGGAGCGCATCGCCGAACTCGCTTGCCTGAATGAATGTGCAGATCCGAACGCTGAGGCCAACAAAGCTCTCCAGTAGTGCACCCTGCTTGGTCCTCCATTCCTCCAAATTCTGTGTACAAAGAATACATATAATTTGGATGAGTTCCTTTCCAAGCCATGCAATTAGTTAAGGTGCTGCTATATATAAAATGAAACATAATATTTTTTTTCTCGAATACGCAAAAGGTTTGCGCATCTTTTGTATTAAGGTTGAGAAAATAGTGAAAGCTACAACAACGCGCCACGGACATGGCACACTGGGAGATAGTGTTATACAATCAGTTCTGCCCTCCGTAATAGAAGGAGATCATGTGCTATTACTCGCTAATCTACTACCTAGTCAGCATCGGCGGTCAGACACACTTGCTTGCGCGGCGCCTCCCCCGCTCTTCTTTTGGATCAGGGAAGAGCTCTCGCATTGCCTCAGCATGCGAGGGGTTGAGCTGGTCGACGAAGATACTGTCGTAGACGTTCTTGGCTACCGTGGTCGTCTATCTGTCGAGCATCCCCATCCGCTTCATCACCAGCACCTCTCCTCGCTTAGAAGCCGGGACGTGTGAAAGTGCCTAGGCGACGATCCTCCTGATGTGGATCGGCAACTTCGGTTGCTTCGGTTGTGCCTCCACAACTGGCTGAGGGAGCAGCAGCGAAGGCACCTTACGCAGGATGTTGTTGGTGAAGCGCTTGAGCCTCTTGGTGGCGGAGCTCCCACTTTCAACTGGACGGGGAGGGGTGGCCGTGTCAGCGCCTGGGGGATGGCCCAGGAGCCTGGGCTCACCTCTGCAACCACGACGCCTAGCTGTCCCTCCCAAGGTGGCATGACGTGTGGCTGCCCCTGCACAGGCGACAACGGAGGCGAGTCCGTCGTCCACTGAACAACCTTCGTCGGCTAATGCTTGTCCACCAATGATGCTTCATCTTCCTGAGAAGCGACCGTCTTAGTAGGCGAGCACCCCGGTCCAGCAGGCCGGCACACGACGAGCGAGGCGGTGAACTCCTCCAGCATTAGGTCGACCCACGCGGGAGGCCTCATGCTCACCCACAGCTCCAACACCAGCAGATCAGGCTCGGGGAAGCAATGTGCAGCAGCAGAGGTAGCGGCGCTGTCGTCATGGTTGATAGACACGCCCACGTTGCTGTCCTTTGCCAGCTCACTCTAGTGTCGCCAGCGTCGTCATCGAACTCCGTCGGTGCCTCCCGCGACACCCTGTGCGGCCCCATCCGAGCTTGGTGGAGCGTCGTGTGGTGCATGCTAGGAGGCCACTTGCAGTCCCTAATGAGGTGGCAGAAACCATGACAGCGCAGGCAACACCGAGGCAATCGACAAGTCGCTACTCGGTGCGAGTAGGAGAGGCAGTTAAAGCATCTGCCATGAAGCTATATGGGGATATTCCGGGCATGCATAAGCTGCTTTGGGCCGCAGCAAGGCTCAGTCGAGGCGGCCGCAGGTCCCGTCCCCTGCCGGGGAGGATCTCGCGCCACCCATCGGCGTTGGGGGCGTTGACCCATCCACGGCGGCTAAGGCGTTAGCGGGTGGGGACGTGGCCATCTGCTGGCCGAGCAGGCATGCCGCACAACAGCTGTGGCCGTGGCTGGCTGCGCTTCCTCCACCTCTGACCAGGTCCCTTCCGGCCAAGGTCGGCTCCACCACAGCCCATAACCGCAACGGGGCGAACCTGGGTGCTTGCGGTGGGTGCAGTGCCCGCCTTCATCGGGCAACGAGTGGTGTCCAGGTAGGTTGTGGGGTGGTCGTTGTTGGACTCGTCGTCATTGTCGTTCGCCCACCAGCGGCGCTTGGTGCGCCCACCCGAGACTGGGTAGAAAGGAGCCACGTCCGATGAAAGGGAGGAGCTATGGGTGGCCGGCGGTGGCGAGGCGGGCTGTGGCTGACGGGACGGCGTCCTCGGAGATGACCACACCTCCCCGGCCCGTCACGGCCGGCGGGTCGCCGCCCGGTGACAGTGGCAGTGTGGAGGGGCCGGATCTAGCAGCCCCCACGCACAGCCTCGCTGCCGTCACGGCTGTTCCCAGCGGTGGCTGGGGCAGTGGCGCACCAGAGGAGGTGGCCGCGGCGTCTGGCCCCGGCGGCCGGGGCTACTGGCCCAACGCAAGCGGCGGCGGCTAGGAGGGGCCATATCTAACTCCCACACGCAGCCGTGGCTGGCCCCGGCGGTGGCGCACCGGTGGAGGAAGATGCCGTGGTGGCGGCGCCCACCCCTAGCGGCCAGGGAACGCCGGAGGAGAGGCCCGACTCGGGTAGCGACGACGGCCGAGAGGCGCTCTCGATCGGTCCTGCGCGAGGGCGAGGGGAGGAGGGGGGCACAGATGCAGGGAGGTGAGGGGAGGGGAGGGGAGGAGGAGGAGGCGCCGGGTGCCGGTGCCGCGGCGGCAGAGGCGGTGGTGGGGAGGGAGCCAGGGGCTCCTAGGGTTGGAGGGAGCCCATCGGGCCCAAGGAAGTTCACTCTGAATCAACGTGAGCAACTGATACATAATCTAAATAAATGTATTTGCAGAGAGGTGCAGTGTGATGAGAAGGCTAGATTTCATACAGCATCATGGGCATGAAGTTCTCCAGCAACAGGTACCAGGGCATATAGTTTCTCCACCTCTAGCTTGATTGCTTTCAGCAGCTGTATGTGTGATGAGAAACTGTAAGAGTACTACTATATGTGTGATGGTCTTAAATATTTCAAACAGTATATACATTCCATAATAAGAAATCAATTCAAGGACAAAAGATTAAAACATAGAACATAGCAGTGGATATATATATATATATATATATATATATATGCTTTCGTGGAATTTGGTTGAAAGGAAACAAGCAAAGTAATCTGCAATAACAAATACTACACCCAAAAAACATAAACAAAGGTGCGTATATGAATTTACCAGAGGTAGTGCGTTGTCGACTGTCCTGTTATAATGAACATGTTCTGTTATAGAATTGACACGTAGAACCGCCAAGAGTTTTGCAGCCATAGTTCTGAGCTCTGTGGAGTCAGAAGAAAGCATATCAACAAGTTGCTGCATGTCTTCAATCTTCAGTTCTTCAAGGATCCTCAAGGCATTCCTTTGGCTGTCCACGGCAAGAACAAGTAATGCTTCAACAGCAGACTTAGCTAGCTTGACTCTGTTGGATGGGGATGGAGTTTCAACAACAAGGGATGGAACAAGCTTCCTAATGATCCGAGCTGAACCCCCAATCTCTTCCTTTCCTGTCTCATCCAAAGCTAAGCAGGCAAGAACTCCAATTGCTTCAGTGAGTAGCTCAGTATGGCTCCTTGGATGTTCCAGGATCTTTCTAATGTTCCTGAGAACATGGAGGTTCTCAGAGATTTTGCACCTAAGCACCTTACCGGCATCGCCGGTAGTTCGGACCAGCCTGTGCAGGACTTGAACTGCCTCCACGATGATCTCCTCTGTTACTGGAGACCACGAGATTGAGCTGCTGTTGTCATCACTAACAGCTGTAAGGTCCACAATGCTTGATATCACCTGGTCATCGGCATCCTTCACTACTTCCTTACAGTTGTCCGGATTGTCCATGATCTTTCTGAGGATTTTCACACCGAGCCATGTAAGCTCGACGCTGACATTGCTCGTTGTCGACGCTGCCGTTGTCTTCGCAGTAAGCAGTGAAGACACCATCTGCAGCACTGCTGGGAAGCTCTCCACTTGGAGGTCTGGAGAGAGCTCCAGCACCACGTTCGCCGCGTGCCCTCTGGTGTTCTCTTCCTCCGTGGTCTTGTTCTTCAGTCCAAGCATACTGACCACGCTTCCCACAGTGTCAATGGAAGCTCGGAGCCTCATCAGCGCCAGCCCACTGTACTTCTCCACGCTGAGGACGCGATCAAGAACCCGGACGCCGACGAGCCGGTCGGCCACCGAGGTGGACCTCGCCATCTCCATGGCGAAGCTGACCAGGTCCATGTCCATTGCTTCACGCACTCTTCCACCGGAACATTTCATGTAGGTGTCGAGCATGTAGCGCTTGATGATGAGCTTCCCTGACTGGCCAAGCTGGTACGTCATGCGGAGCTTCTTGACCCGCCGGACGTCGATGGGGAGCATGGTGTCGGCGAGGAAGGAGGAGACGCCCTGCGCCAGCACCAGGCCGTAGAAGAGGTTCAGGGACCCCTTGATGCTCTTGTGGTCGCTGCTGCTCTGGTCCGCCGGGTCCACATAGTCCTGCCGGCTCAGACGCAGCACGGCCAGGACGACGGAGGTGATGCCCGCGGCGAACAGCGCGAACGTGAACCCCGTCGTGAGGGTCTTGGCGAAGAAGAGGCGGCAGGTGCAGAAGCGCCGCCGCCCGGAGGTTAGGGACGACGACCATCCCAGCAGGCCTCCTCGTCTTGGTGGTGGGGGAGCAGCAGTTTGGTTCGGTCCTTGCCCCGGCCGGTTGGTTCGATGATGCCTTTGCCAGCTACCTTGCTCCTTGGCCTCAATTTCCTCGGTCTTTGCTGCCACAACTTCCGGTGCGTTGATGATGAACTGATCCTCTGGATCCACAGCACTGGTAAAGAGCCTGCCATTTGCATTTGGAAAGAGTTTGGTATGCAACCATGTCAGTTTTGTATATGGGACTTTATTTCATTACTAGATATATGTTTTTACGTTGCATCGGGCTATGTAATTTTTTATCCCTCGGTAATCGAACGTGTGAGCTTTGACCTCCGAGGACATTGTATCGGACGCGGTCACATGGATCTGATCTTCATATCGAAACCAGATAGGATGTGGACGCGTGAGTTCCGAGTGAAGAATGATTTCTATCGAATATGGACACATAGTAGGGATCAAGATTTGGTATCACCGGATAGACGATGACTTACTGTCTTTTTAGATTTAGATTAGAAATTATAGCAGGATAAACACAATGACTGTAGTTGTATTTATTAAAACAAGAAAAATAAAAAGCCACGCCATTTTCCTTTGTGCCTCTACTATATAAAAAAACCACCTCATATTATGTGATGTACTTCCTTTATTTGCTGATGAGTAATTGAGAGGGACAAACTGTTTGGACATCTGCCCAATAGTCCGGTCCAAGTGGCCCATGCCACTAGCTCATCAGAAAGTATATATCTTATCTTGCTATTACAAAGTAGAGGCTTTCTTACTAATTTTCATCATAGGTGTTAAAAAAATAAATTCTCAAAATAGAATCAGAAACATTTCAGCTTTAATTTGGTAGAATCTATAATCATCATCTATAATAGCCACTGGTTTTATTCTGTTTCATAAAAAACTGCCCACCCCTATATACCATATGAAAAATATATAAAGTAACCACTTAATTTTGAATTTAAATTACCCACATCTGCCATTATCAATGATAATTCAAAATAACCCCTAAATTTATATATAAATTACCTACTTCTATCAAATATAATTCAAAATAATCCCCTAATTTTATATCTTAAATAACTACCTCTGTTACTATGAAAGATAAAAAAAAAATCCTTTGTTTTGTATATAAATTACCCACATCTATCATTATCCATGATAATTCAAAATAATACCTAATTTTGAATTTAAATTACCCACATCTACCATTATTAATGATAACTCAAAACTATCCTAACTTTGTATATAAATTACCCAACACTATCATTATGAAAGATAATTTAAAACAACTCACCAATATTTTTTATAATTACCCACATTTACCCTTATGATAGATAATGTGAAGTAACCCTTACATTTGCATTCAAATTTACCAATATATGCCGGTATGAAAGAAAATATAAGATAACATTTATTATAAATGTAACACATTTTTATTCGTATCTAAATTATCCACCACACCCATCATAAAAAGAACATAAATATATCTCGATCATACATGTTAATAGTATTGTAAGTTATCATGAAAAATATCCAATATACATAAAGTATGGTATATAAATTTCTAAAATGTACAATTCTATAACTGTTATATGTTACAAATAAGAATAATGGTATTTTCTATCCTGTAGGCCAAGTAAACATATATACATTAGTATAAATATTTATTTTAATAGCAGAGTGGATGATATGGACCGGGATGATGATGGTGTGTCCATAATAAAGGCATAGAGGAGGACCACCTAGCCTCAATCCGGGCCAAGGGTGGCACTAGATCCGGCCTATGTTTGGGGGCGTCGAGGAGCAGCGATGGTTGTGGCAGAAGCAGAAGCTGGATTCTAAGCAGGAGCTGCAATGGGATCTTTAAAAAAATAAATTGATTTTCAAAGGCAGATGTCGGTCTTAGAAAACATTATTTCCACCGGCAAACATGAGGACCGCGCCTTTGATAACTATACGTACGATTAACTCTGACCATCTCTCAGGGGTGGAAAGCATTTATGGCCATCTATGAAAAGCCAAAATGTAGTCCTGTTTAGATTTCTAATACTTTCATGAGTAATGTTTTCTATATGCTTTTCCATGTCCCAATATTAAATGTTTTCACATAGCTAATGGTCTTTCCACACAAATTATGAACACTAAGTCATTTTCTAAAATTATTGTATGCTTGTGCACAGCACAGGTTTATATATGGACCAAGTTAACTTAATAAAAATATATAACTGTGATGATACAAGGTTAACTAATTTTGCATATCCCTAACCTCGTGGCTTCGAGGAAGGAGATGATTGTGACGAACCAAAAATCCTTCTGCTTTATCAGGGTGGAGAATCCACCAAGCAGAACGATGGTGGCCCAAGCGAGCGCCAGGGCCCCGAAACCGCCGATCGCCTTGTCGATGAACGCCCACCGCAGTATGATGCCATTCAGCCCTGCTTCTGGCAGCCGGAGTTCTTCAGGCACAACCACGGTTGTCATGCCGGCAGCTGACGCATGCTCCATTATGCCTTATTAGCTTGTTTACTGCTGGTTGTGGACTTGTGGTGTGGTTGTTTCTCCCTGTCAAGGTCGATGGCACAACGTATTTATATTGGACAATGTTGTTTGGGACAGCATCTAAAGACGATTGCGTTATTAATACAGATCCTAGGCCATCTCAGGGTGTGATGATGGCCACACAGTTGTGAATGTACGTCCTCACCGGTGTGTGTCTCATCTGTTTAAAGCTTCAAGTAGCGTTTCCCAATCAATTGTAACTTTTTATGTGTCTTATTGACAATATATAAGCCACTTTGTATTTTTTGTTAGCGCATACTAGTTCGAATGTTACCCCCATTTGTCCGAAAAACTAGCTGCCGTGACAACTAAGGCACTTATATTCTAGTATAACAGATCGCCTCTTCTTCATAGTACAGCTGCTTCATGTGTCTTATTGACAATAAGCCACATAAAAAAGTTACCCTCAGCTTTGTTAGCTTGTATTTTGTTAGTGCATAGTTACCCCAATTGTCCGAAAAAAATAGCTGCCGTGACAACTAAGGCACTTCTATATTCTCTAACAGATCACCTCTTGTTGATGCTGACTTGTGTTTACGGAACTGGGATTATTCCCAGCTTCATAATTGTTGTACTATGCACATATTATCCATCTTTATATATATATACTTATTAATATTGCCTTCTTTCAACTGTTTTGTCTATTTCCTTTTCTTTTACTACCCACAATATCCTCATTAAAAGTCCTCTCATTATTGTCTCATATAATTTGGACTAACCACCTATGCTCATACGAGTCAGAATAATATACATCAAGCAACATTACGGAGTATGATTTCAAGACGTATTTATAAAAGATGGCACGATTGTTGAACAAATCTCCAAGCCTCAAATTGTCATATGCGACTTCGCAAGAGGCTATAACCTCTATTGGAACACATAAGCATGTTTACTAGTTTATATCGCATATTAAAGTACAATAACTAAAGTACAATAACTTATTTGGTTTGTCTCCTCGTCCGATCCATCGTTCCTCGCTCAAAATCCTCTTTTCTCGCTTTTACCAATCAGCCTTGGAAAACTTAAGACCCACGGCAAGAGTCCTAGACGCGGGGCCTAACGGAGGTACACTTGACCCTCCTCCAACATGGCGCTAATTATATTTTCAAGCTATAAAATCTTCACTAACACCATAACACCCATGTCGTGGCCTGGCCAGCCGAGCCCTAGCTCATGTGTGTTGTAACTCAGCCTGGCCACCCATTTAAACTAAATCAATTTTCTACACAAAACTAATCGTTTATTTCACCAAACATTTTTATGGGCATTATAATTTTCTTATTCTACTGAAATAAGGTTCTAACTGAATTTTTATCTGAAGTTACATAATTGATTATAGTGTAGTTTAGTTACTACAAACAAAACTGTTGTTCTTCACCCATATCCTTTTTTTAGTAATAGCAGCAGGAGCTTAAAGGGACTTCAAGGCCTGATCTTTTTAGTAATTTCCACGACAATATATCAAGAAAACAATGTCAATATAGGACATGAATTAAGGGAGCATTCTTGCGCGATAAGCTACAAATTCTAAATGCGAGACATATACCCTACGAAGGAAGGAATTTTCTGTCACTTTGGTTCGAAGCTGGCCTGGAGTGAGTTGAAAGGACAAAATGTGACAGCCTTACGTGAGAAGTGGAACCAATGGTGTACCGCAGGTTTTCCCTCTGCAAAAAAAAAAAAAAAAAAAATACAGGACCGTACTATTAATACAAGCTAAGGGATTGGAATCAAGAATATATTATATTGCCGAAACGAGAAGCAACTTGTATTTCAATCTGCGAACCCTATGAACATCAAAGTTATAGTCTAAGGCGGTTCTTTGATATGAATCACTTCATTCATAATATTTGTCTACAACACACCATTGGCGTATACAAAAGATGCTACTAATTTCAAGAAAAAAAATATTATCAAATGATCATCACACGCTAAACAAGTGTAACAACGCAACCATTTCTCTCTAATGAGAGCATATATATATATATATATATATATATATATATATATATATATATATGAAAATTATATAACACGATGGGGCGATAAAATCCCGAAATTCACAAAGTCATTAGAGACGTCTCTTTATTGATAGGCATGCGAAGTGAACGCTAGACCACTTGGTTTAGCTGTGCGCTTTGCACTCTGCCGGCCAGAGTACGAACCTCCTTGGAGCGGATTTGTTGGTCCGAGGAGGTGCAACTTATATCTGCGCGTTGAAAAAAATCCCCTCTTCTACCCCACGCCAAAGCATAGGTCTAAGGCCAGCCCAGTCTTCTAGGAGCTGCGGTGCCGTTGTGTATGGGTGGGGTAGAGGTTCACGGGTTTTCTCGACCTGCGTGAGAAGGTCTTCTTCTTAAGCACAATGCCCGGGGCTATCTTACCCCCGCAGGTCAAGTTTTTTTATTGATAGGCATTTTGCCACCGCTTAAACAAATAGCACTATTTTTAAAATAAAATCCAAGAAAATGCGAATACCTGAGTCAAGTCACTGACTTAAATCGAAAATTAAATATAATGTGTCTTCTCGTAGTGTTATGTATATACAGTGAACAACCCATGCAACCAACCAAGCCGAATTCAGTGTTTGGATAGATTGGCCCAAATCTCTCATCTTTTGCGCACCACCCTCACAACCAATTCTATCAACTGTTTGGGACACGCCACGGTCAAATAGAATCTTTTGAGTGGTTGGCAAGACCAATAGGTTAAAATAGCAAAAGAGGTGGGAATTGAGCATAAAATTGGGATTAGATCATATACCAAGTTGTATCCCAAATACTTTGATAATATACACGTGTACCCCAAGGATTTTAAAGTGCCTGAATTCATTAACTTCTTTGTGGAGGTGTCGGTGTTTCGAGTTGCCATCAACAAGTAAATTTCTAATATTGCGCGTCTGGCTCGGATGGTGTGCTAAGAGGACACGAGGTTTATACTGGTTCGGACAGAATATCCCTACGTCCAGTTCGTTGCTGTTGCTCGTGTTACCAGCACTGAAAATTCATAGTTGGGGTTACAAACGGTCGAGAGAGAGGCGGGTCCCAAGTTTCTGATGGATTGGGTGAACGGGTGCCGAGAGCTTGGTCCCTGCTCAGTTTTATGTTCGGGGTTCGATGAGTTGATCGGATTCAAGTCTCCTGTGGTGTGTTGCGATGAGTTCCGATCGTTGGTTCGATGCCCCTAATAGGACGCCCTGCTTTCCCTTTTATAGGCCAAGGAAAAGCAGGGGTTATAGCTTAGGGAAAAGGGGATAACGAGAAGGAGAAGAGGTCCTCCAGGATCGCTGGGTCCTTTTCCTTCACGTGGGTCCCGTTGACCTTGTAGATGTCAACAAGGACAACTCCACGTCATGGCCCTGTCTGTTAATGGCGCCATGCGCAGGTGTTGTCTCCCGGTAATGGCATTCCACTCCATCCTGGCGGACGTCGTGGTGAACTAACGCACCTATTAGTGCCTGTACGAGGGTTAGGCAGAACAGTACCGGTACGCCCGACGCTATTCCTGATGTGAATCCCCAGGTATGACCTGTCACGGCCACATGTTATATCGGGGTGTGCCAGTCACCTCCCTGGTGTCAGAGCTTTGACTCAGGCCCATACGCTTGGACCTAGAGTGGTTGGCGACGGTATGGGACTCCGTCAGGCGAGGCGGAGCCCATGACCTTAGGGTCAGGTGAGGTAGAGTCCTTTCCTAGAGGCTAGATGAGGTGAAGCACAGACCCGAGGGTCGGGCAAGGCAGAGCGCAGACCCAAGGACCAGGCAAGGTAGAGCCCATAGGCTTGGGGTCGGACGAGGCAGAGTCCTCCCCCAGAGGCCGAGCGAGGTGGAGCGCAGACCCGAGGGTCGGGCGAAGGAGCCCGCCCTCAGAGGTCGGGCGAGGCGAAGCCAGTCCTAAGAGGTCTGGTGAGGCGAAGCCAGCCCTCAGAGGTCGGGTGAGGAGGATCCTATGGCCTCGATGTCGAGCAAGGTGGAGCCTGCCCTCGGAGGTCGGACGAGGCGGAGCCAGCCCTCAGATTTTGGGTCGAGTCAGAGCCCGCCCTTAGAGGTCGGGCTAGGCAGAGCTTGCGTACCTGGGGGTCGGTTGGAGCTGTAGTCACGCTCTTGACTGCTCAGATGAATATGGTTATTACCTCCTCCTCTTTAGATACCCTTATATTGGTCCCCGACAGTAGCCCTCGAACCTGCAGAGGAGTAGAATACTCCTTCGTAGGTTTTTCTCAATGGGAGGACTCCAAAGGCCTCGACCTTCTTTTGTCGCCCATAGTGTGACCTGGGGACGGTGATTCCCTTTCCTCGAGCCCCTCCTGTAGCAGGGGCCTGGTCGAGGATCGGTTCATCTTTGCGATTGTCTTCCCTCAAGCGTTTTTTTCATAAAAATGGAGGGGCCGAGCCGTGCCATGATTTTCCTCTAAGGACGAATCATGGCATCCGATGAGCTATTTAATGGGCTAGTCTAAGTGGGGCCCCCGACATCCCATTCATGGGGATCCGGCTAGGGTCAGCTTGGTGACTGGCCCTAGATTCTTAGTGGTCAATCCATATAGCTCTTGGGTCCATTCGATCGGTCCCGAGGGCTAAGCACCTTTCTTAGAAGAAGAACCATGGATCGTAACAGGACGAGACTCGATCATGGGCTAGGATGCCCACGGTGCTCGTGCGCGTGGGTACTGGCCGCTAGCGGGGCCCATCTCTTTCCACCTCTCACCCTAAAGGTGCCTAGAGCAGTTGTCTAACCCGTCGATGGGCCGACCTACGAACTCCTGGGCCCATATGCACCATAGAGATGGTTTTAGATATGTATTCCTCTTACTCATGACGGGTCATGGCCCGTCCAGAGAGGCGAAACGTCTGGCGAGTTTTTTGACGAAACGAACAGAGATTGCGTGCGCACGTCCCGCGGCGGGACATTGTGGTAGATCATGGCAGGCGCAGAGATCTAGGTG